ATTTTCCCGGTAGAAATATGTAAGACTGTTCTATAGGTATATGTTAGGTCTAGTTGGTTTGTAATGGTGTTAAGTCTCCCATTTGTTTTTGGATTTTATTTCTGCTATTGTTTCCATTAATTGAAAGTACAATATTGAAATCTCTATTTTCTGTTGACTTTTTATGACTTAATTTCTGTGAAGTTTTTCTTCATTTATTTTTTTGTTTCTGTTGTTTGGTGATTGTATATTTATAATTGTTATGCATTTCTGATGATTTGATTCTTTCATTATTATAAAGTTGCGTTTTCCCCCTATGGTCACAAATATTGTTTTAACATATATTTTTAACAGCTATTGCTTTTTGGATTACTGATTGCGTAGTTTATTTCTGTTGATTAAATGTTTCCTTTGTCTTACTCATAACTGGTTTAAAATAATATAATGTTGACAACTCTGGAGATTAGATCCTTCCCTTTTCCTTGGAATTTGTTGTGGTTGGTTTTGTTGTTCACATACTCACTTTTTGGATTAATTCTTTAAGTCTATATTCTTAGTTATCTGAAGCCACTTAAGTCTCTGGTTGGTTAGCTAATGATTAGATGGTAACTTCATTAAACAGTTTCAACCAAAAAGGCTTCTAGTCTTTGCTGAAGTGCTTTGTGTATGAGTTGAGATATGCCTCTCAATGCTCACCCAGGCAGTTTACAGTTTTACCTTACCTTTGTCTTCCTGCTTGTGCAGAACCTCAAAGATACCCAGAGATGAGAGATTAGGAACTTTTCAAGTCCATCATGGCCATCCACACAGCCCAGACATGCATGCATCTCTTTGTATGTACATGTTTTCCTAGATTACCAATAATATATTGTAGCCTTTGAATGCACATAGCGATGTGGGTGAATTTTGCAAACACTGTGTAGACTTAAATAAGCAGACCAATATATTCTGTACGGTTTCATTTTTATGAAGCTCTAGAAGAATAGTGATGAAAAGCACATTGGTATGCACACATCAGTTAATCCTGTTCACATTTTGCCTCATTCCCAGAAAGCTTCAAAGTGCCCTAAAAGCATTATCTAGCTGCATTTTGACATGAGTAAGGAAGAAAGAAAGAAGAAAACATAGAAGATGTATGCATAAATTAGAAGGTGATGGAGAGAGAACTCTCCAATATAGCCTGAAAAATTATGACATGGTGACATGATGAATGACAATAGGGAGGATAGAAGGATGAGTTTACATGGTTTGAAGTGATATGGTAAATTTTAGGATGATAAGGAGATCAGTGTTCCACACACAAATATTACTAGGTTATATGCTGGTTCTTTGGAATCCGGAAGTCACCTGTCTCACTTATTTTTCTAAAGCATATGAGGCTTTCTTGACACTTCTCTTTATTATATAGAGACCAAATATGAGGGTACTTCAAAAAGTCCATGGAAAAGTAGAATTAAAAGATGTTTACTTTGTTGCAAAATTCTGGAAATCCATAGTTTTTTGTATTTCCATGAACTTTATTTATTTACTTTTAAAGATTTGTTGATTTATTTGAAAGTCAGAGCAACTGAGAGAGAAAGGGAAAGGGAAAGAGAGAGAGAGAGAGCGAGCAAGCGAGCGCAAGCTTCCATCTACTGGTTCATCCCCCAAATGCCTGCAACAGCCGGGTCTGGGCCAGGCTGAAACCAGGAACTAGCAACGCCATCTGGGTCTCCCATGTGGGTGGCAGGGACACAAGTATTTGGGCCATCTGCTTCTGCTTTCCCAGGCACATTAGCAGGGAGCAGGATAGGAAGCAGAGCGGCTGGGACTCGAACCTGTGCTTTGATATGGGGTGCCAGGTCTCAAGCGGCAGCCTAATTTGCTACACCACAACACTGTGCCCTATATGAAGCTTTTGAAGACTCCATTTATGTTGTGCATGGATTTCAAAATTATTGTGCCAAAATCTTTCCATTCTTTCTGTGAACATTTTGAAGTTCCTTTGTATGTGGGATCCTCTTTCCTTGAGGACTTAATTTATGCTTGTTCATATTTTTGAATAGGATTTATATACATTGTTTCATTTCTGTTGTTTCATCATGTGCCTATAGAAATATCTACCTTTGTATAGTTGGGAAGAGTAAATGAAAATGTTTGTGGAAAGTCCTTCAAAAACTTTGAAGCCATGTGCATTACAAGGTAGTATTTAGAAGGCCAGAAGTCTGGAAAAGAGATTGGTGCAGATAATGAAAAAGGGGAATGAATGCAACTCCTTCCACACCTTTACTCACAAAGTACTATAAGAGTTGAAATGATCAAATGACTCTGGAAGAAGAATGATTAATAACTCTACCTTGCTTGGCTAAAGTAAATTTTTGGATATCCTGGTATGTGTAGAAGAACAATGTCATGAATACTTTTATTTAATTTCCCTGAGTGAAAAAGAAATCAGATGAGGAATTCTGGGCCTGCCCATTTTTGCTGTTGACTGAGGAGGCCGGGGACATTGATCATTTTCCAGACATGGAACCAGTTTTGTGTTCCCCTTGCTGATGAAATATAGAAGGCTTTGGGAGATACGCATGCCCCTCTCACATTTATGAGGCCCGGGTTTGAAATGGAAAATGTGATTCTAGAGTGGAGAAATTGTGAGAAGCCATGAGTGTGGTCTGAAGTCCCCAGACCTTTGTTGTTGTTGTTTTCAGTGACGTGTTAAAGAGCCAAGAGTCCAAATTCTGAAAATAAGTCCTTTTGGAAATGGGACAGAGACAAAATAGTAATAAAATTTTTGCATGGGTTCCTGTTCCATCCAAATGCCTGAAACTGTTTGTGTCACCATTTACCTTAACCTGAGAGCAAATGCTCAGACTCAAAAGCTTATATACCTTATAGATGTAAAAGGAGAAGGAAGATGAGGAGAATGAAACTAGGGAGTGCAAAAAGAAATAGGAAACAGAAAATAAAAGTAACCAAGAAGCCTGAGCGTTTCTAGAAGATGGTCTAATGGATTATCCTAGTTGGTGAGAGCAGTGTTCCTCAAAATTTATTTTGTAAAATTTTATGTATTTTATTTATTTGAAAGGCAGAGAGAGAGAGAGAGAGAG